CCAGGCTTCTGGCTTGAGCGTGGGGTTGTGGGTTGCGGGTTTAGGGTTTAGGGCTTTAGGAATTAGAGCTTTAGGGTTTAGGGGTTTAGGGTTCAGGGTTTAGGGTTTAGGGTTTAGGGCTTTAGGCTTTAGGGGTTAGGGGTTTAGGGTTTAGGGTTTAGGGTTTTGAGCTTCGGCAACCTAAACCCGAAACTACGAAGTCTCGCGCTTGGAGCAGCTCCAAGGTCTTGTTCATGACCTACGAGGGAGCTTGGGCAATCTGAGAGAGCTCTGTAGTGATTCATCATATGGGTGGTTGTCAAAATTAGGGTCCCTTTTTTGGGTACTTATTGTAATACGGCACCCTTATAATAAGGACCCTAAAAAGGACCCTAATTTAGAGAACTACCCATATTTTTTGGAGTTCGCTGATCTAACCAGGGTACCGAAAGCCTCAAAGCCCAAGTCTGTTTGTTCCGCCATTATTATCATTGCTATGATGATGATTGCTGCTGCCGCCATTTAGTTCCTCAGCGAACCAGTTTGCTAGCTGTTTGAGGTTAGGGTTGAGTGTTGAGTTTTTTAAGAAGTGGGTTTAGGGTTTTGTGCAGTTCATTTTGAGGGGTTTACGGTTTAGTCTAGAGTTTGGGGTTAGGGTTTTGGGTAGCTTGCTTTACGATGTTCCCTCGTAGTTCATACAGACCTAAACCCCTAATCCCTAAACCCTAAACCCTAAACCTTCTGGGTGCCTTTGACTTTCAGCCCAAGCCGGGCGCCCCAAACCCTGAACCCTAAAGCTGTAAACCCCAAGCCCTGAGCCCTAAACCCTGAACCCTAAACCCCAAACCTGAACCCTAAAACTGTAAACCCTAAACCGCCGAGAGGATTTCGAGTGTCAGTGTCGGTGTTGGGTTTAGGGTTTAGGGTTTCAGTGTTATAAGCAACCCTTATTGTAGCTCTTATCCTAATAACCCCCATGGTAACCATTGTCTGTGTTTTTGTTAAGGCATTTTATTTTTTATAAGTTGCTATAACAGGGGTCGATAGTAAATAAAATGTTTGTTCTTTCTTATGCTAACTTAAATAAATCAAATCCCTTGACCAGAACCCTAAACCCTAAACCCTGAACGCTAAAGCCCTAAACCCTAAACCCTAAACCCTTTGTAGTGACGAAGTGCCAAGCTCCGCAGGTTTGAATTCGCCCCCGTGCACTTTGCAAGCTACTCCAGGTTCCCCCGGTCGGACCCTGTTTAGGGTTTAGGGTTTAGATTTTAGGGTTTTTCGGGTTTAGGGTTTTAGGGTTTCAGGGTTTAGAATTTAGGGCTTAGGGTTTAGAGTTGAGGGTGTTTAGGGTTTAGGCTTGTACCATACGGGTGGGAATAATGCGTAATGATCTCCCCATACAGTCCACATATAGTTAGTAGTAGAACATCACCCAAAGCCTGATTCTGTTTAACTGAATCGTAGGAAGAAGGGCCCCTTTGTCTGTTGAGGGGTTGCTGCGGGAACCTAGCTAATTCCTGACATCCAGGTTTGAGCCCTGGAGTGTGTACACATGCCTGGGGTGTCCCCAAATCATCAGGAGTCGGGCCGAGTAGGTGCCCTGCAAGAAGGATTCGACCCTGATTTCTCAGACCCTACTTGGAGGATCATGCGGCTTAGTAAGTAAGGTTATAAGTCCCTTAATTGGGGTTATAAGTACATATAAGTATAGTTACCTGAATTATAACCCTACTTACTAAGTCCCAGGATCCTTTAAGTAAACCCAAACACCCAAGCACTTTCACAAAGCTCTACAGCCCGAACCCCTCTGAATTTCAATTCTTGGAGCCCCAAAGAACCCTTAAAGAGACCCTCAAAAGAACCCATAAAGAGCCATAAAGGAACCGTTCAAGGAGCCCAAGGGATTCTTCGCCGCCTTTTTGGGGAAGCCCGATCACAGGATGCAAAGATTCATCAAAGCTCCGGAGATCGATACATGGCGTTTCACGGTTTAGGGTTAAGGGGTTCATCGGTTTGGGCTAGGAGTTTCGGGTATAGGGAGTTTAGAGGTTTACAGGTTAATACAGCTCAGGACTATGCGGTGGGTTTAGGGTGCAGCGTTCGGGGGGGTGGCAAACAGTTTTGTTGTATCGATTGTTGATGGCTGCCATCATCAGTAAGTTGGCTTTGGCCGCTGCCATCATTCTCGCTGTTTAAGGTGTTTGGTTTATCGTGTTTCAGGTTTTGCAACTTTTGTGTGTTTTGACGTTGTTGGTTCAACGTATGTAACAGGTGCTTGCAAGTTGTTTTGGTCGCGAGTCTTCGGAGCTCGCGCTTGCTTCTAAAGTGCCGGTAACTTACGACCATGCGTTGCGGCTCTTATCTCTCCAAACATCGTGCGAAAGCCGGCGCCCACGGCCCTTAATCGTTTAACCCAGCCCATCATTGTAATTAAACCCTGGCTTTTCGGCTGGCCCCTGTGCAATTATACCGGCCCCTGTGGAAATCCCGCCTGTTGAAGAGACTTTAAGCTTCACTCGGCGGGACAAAGTACCCTCCATTAGCCTCCGGTCGAGCCCCTGAAGAGTTGCCACGGCTTCTCAGACTGGTCTTCAGGATAATTCGAACAGGGTTGTGGGGTTTCCTTAATATAGTTATAGTATAATGTACCCCAAAACCCTATTCTAATTATTAAGGTGTTTTCGAGCTGCTTAGTGTACGGTTTTCAGAGGGTTTGAGATAGAGGAGCAATTCAACAACAGCTGCCATCCTAGTAACCAATCCGAGCAACATGAGGAACAGGAGAATTGCGTCAGCACATCGTCGTGGGAATGCATGGGACTCCGACAATACGAGTCTAAACCCCCTGCCACCCTTCCATGCGTAATGCAGACCCCTCATGAAAAAGCCTTTTGTCTTGAGTGACCACATTGTTACAGAGAGGGATGTTAGGATGCCCAATCCAATTTGTTTTGCGGAAACGGGTGGCCACATCAAGAAAGATAGCCCGCAGCATCCTTGTAAAACTTTTATAAAGCCACATTCCCCCGTTGATTTTTCAGTCCGATCGGGGGTTCACTGGCATCCCCAGACCCCCAAAAGGATCTAAAAAATAGATCCCCTAATTAGGGACCCTAGCTACTAAAGGGTACTTTATAGGAACCCTAAACCCTAAACCCTAAACCCTAAACCCTAATAGGAACCCCCTTAGAGGATCTATTTTTTAGATCCTTTTGGGGTTCACTGGCATCCCGGCTCTATCGGGGCTTCTGTGCGTGTTCCATTGCCGCGCACGATACCAGGCTCCCGGTAAAAGGACGGATGCTTGATGCCTCTATGTGAGGGTCGAGAGCCTGGGGTTTCGGTTTCAGGCTAACCCCTAAGCCCTAAGCCCTACATAGATCCCGAAAGGCTTCGGAGCTTGAAGCGTAGACGTCAGGATAATGGGAGCTGTAGATTAAGGCTTGCGAGGCTCCGGAACGTGGAACCCATATCCCTGCGCCTTCAACCTTCACTGCAATACGGCCCCTCACGACAGCTAACCATAGACTCAGCATGCTGGACATGTTGTGCATTGCAGCATTTCCACGTATTGCAATGCAGATAAATAATTACCTACATTATTTTGGGGGTTTCTTATTCTACTATTACTAATGGGCACCAAAACCCTACTCTAATTATTAAGGCCCCTACAGTAGTCTCCGATCATCCAACGTTCCCTGTTGCGGCACGGGACCCTGGACCTCAATCCGAAACCCCAAACCCCAAACCCTGAGTCTTGAACCCTAATTCCCAACAAAAAGAGGCCAAGAGACACCGGCACGAACTGCTCGTCACCATACATTAGCAAGGATTACTATAAGGGTTACGATAATGGGTACTTCAAGGCTTTTTTTTAAATAGCGGCGGGTCGTTCGACTTGTTAAGGCTCCTACTTTAGCCCGGTGCACCGCCAAGCCCAGCGAGACAAGACCCCGTTGTCCCTGAAACAGGGAACAGGCAATTTGCCGCTTGCGAGAGGGCTCTTTTGCAACCCTGCTCTTGGCTAATGTTTTTCAACATGCATTCAGGAGCCGGAATGTACTTTGAACCCGAAAGTTGCAGTCCATTCTTTCGGCTTTGGCAGTGCTCACACGCGGTGTCCCACTCCTTTGCTACCGGTTGCACTCCTAGTGCGGCTTTACAGCTGACTTCCCAAATCTTCAGAAGGGATGGGACTCTACAGTCGACCGTGCCCTAGCCAAGACCTTTACCATATAGACCCGTTTACAGGTATAAAGGAGCCCTGTTCGATGGGTGCAACCCGACTCTTGCCGAAGCTGCGATGCACAACTGCGGCTTCGGTGTGCCGTCGGCGGGCAGGGCCGATGGCGAGGTCGGGCCTTTGATGAAGGTGATACGTCGAGACCAAGCGAGCATGATGGTAAATGTTTAGCAAGACATCTGTTGGATAACGGCAATAGTATAAGGGGCCTCAATAATTGCTTGACTTATATTTTAGAATTATAGTATAATGGGCCCCAAAACCCTATTCTAATCATGAAGGCCCCTAGATTAACCCCATAACCCATGAGCCCTTAAACCATACAGAAACTCTCCCTCGAGTGCGAGGCCTGGGGCGTTGCACGACCCTGGGCCTCCTGCGACGCGCAGCTGCTGTCGGCCGTGCACACGAAGCGGGGAGGGGAGGGTCGAGGGGGCCTTTGGTTTGGGAGGTTTGGTTTTAGGGTTTAGGGTTTAGGTGGCCTCGAGGGGGGTTTGGGTCTTGTGGGGTGCTTTGGCTGTTTGGAAGGCTTTGCACGGCTCGCTTGTTTGGACACGGCGGAACGCCCTTTGCATTGCATAGGGAAGTTCAGCTATTGCATGGTGTCTCGAAACGGTTTAGCTAGGGCAGCCGGTGATTCTGCCTTTGGCCCGCTCCCATCAGGAAGGAGTGGGATGAGGCCATGCGCTCCTCCGGCCAATGGCAGCAGCCGGGATGCAAGCAGAGCGAATCTCCGAGGCTCGGAGTGTAAAAGGAAAGTCGCAACAATCCTAGGTATATAGTATTGGGGAGGCCCCCTAAACCCCTAAACCCTAAACCCTAAACCCTAGACCCCTTAAAGGGGACTCATGACCCTTCTGATGGTTCCCTTAACAGGGACCTTGTTGAGAGGGTCCAAAGCTAGCCATCCGGACCCGGATCCCAGGGCTTCCTGGTGGAAAGTCGCTTGGGGCCTCGAGGGCTAAGGGTTTTTTGGGTTTAGGGTTTTAGGGTTTAGGGTTCAGGGTTTAGGGTTTAGGGTTTAGGGGTTTAGGGTTTAGGGTTTAGGGTTTTTTGGGTTTAGGGTTTTAGAGGGGTTTAGCCTTTGGGGTTGAGGGTTTAGGGGCTTTAGCCTTGAGGGTTCAGGTTGAATAAGCCCTAAACCCCTAAACCCTAAACCCTCAACCCTAAACCCTAAGCCCTAAACCCTAAATCAGAAGCCCTAAACCCTAAACCCTGAATCCTAGTTGAGGGTTTAGGGTTTCTTTCTCTTTTAGGGTTTAGGCTTTCACGGTTTTGACCGAGGCAAGCGCTGAGCCTCTACTGGCAGGGCCTGGGCCAAAGGAGCAGCACAGCTTAGTATAGAAGCCTTTACTTAGAGGCCCAGGGGACTTAG